ATAAAGTTTGTGTACTGTGGCAGTTTGAAGTAGCATGCATTCATACACAACAAAACACTCATACACAACAAAACAGTCAAAGATGTTCTAATATTTCCTCATTTTTGCAACCTTTAGAAATGTTTTTTAAATAAGTATAACAAATAATGACCTTTTCTCAGTGGTGGACAGTAACGGAGTAGTTTTACTTCGTTACTGTACTTAAGTACATTTTTCAAGTATCTGTACTTTACTTGAGTAGTTTTATTTTGAGTAACTTTTACTTTTACTTCACTACATTCCAAAGCATAAGATCGTACTTTTTACTTCACTACATTTCATAAAACTGATCGTTACTCCTTATAATATATCACGTGCTCCGAGACGCAGAAGCGGTGTCTGATTCATGAGGGTGATTCTATAATTGGAGATACATTTGGCATTGCAGAAAGTTAAGAAAAAAAAACTTTTCACTAACAGATTTTTTTTTCAGTATCTTTTTGAAAACATATTTAATTTTAACAATTCAGTGCTTGCCAAACACAAGTTACTTCCTTTTTTTTACTTTTAATGAAAAACCAGATGTCTTTATGTATTGTTTGTCAACTCTGTTACGGACAAATTAGCCAATGTGTAGAAATAACAATAAATCATAACAGGAAAAATCCTTCTTGTTTCATTAGACAAACAGTCCTTACATTTCATCACTTGAAACTGAGATAATATTTCACCTATGCATACCTTTAAAATTAAAAAATTACCTATGTCTTAACAGAACCGTCCACTTGGAGCAAATATTTTTCATCTGAAAATGTATTATATATTATAATATCCAGTTAAAAAAATAAATGTTGTTGAAATATTATAAAGGTGCAAAAATAAATCAATAATGTTCATTAGGATTTTAAACAACAAATGTATTGTTTTTTGTGAAAATAGTTTATAAACAGAGTTGACCCTTTAAGTTAGAATTGTAAAGTAACAGAATTGACAATTGTCAGATGGACTGTCAATTCTGTTACTGCATTGTCAGCATTGTTACTCTACCTTGGTAACAGAGTTTGACAGTAACAGAATTGACAATTTTCTTTATTTTTTGCCAAAAACTCCACTTGCTAGCATAAATGCTAAGAGCACATGGCACTAATGAAATCATGATTAAAAGACTTTTAAATAACACAAAGTGTGATCAATTAAAAAATCTGTTTTTTCCTTTTGATATTGTGGTAACAGATTTGACACTTTATAAAATAGCTCTTGGTGTAAGAACTTTTAGATTAAAATATTTTCTTATAGAGAGCACATAGGCTGCGTCCGAAATGGCATACTTTCCTACTATATAGTAGGCAAAACGCAGAGGCGAGCAAATAAGTATGTTTGAATCCTCAGTATTCATAAAAGAGTAGGCGAGAATTGCACTAATTCTCGTGAGATTCGGATATACGTATACTTAATTTGCATTCTAATATGCCTACTTACCTACTATAAAGTAGGGGGAAAAGAGTATGTGAACAGATTAGTATGTCCGAAACCGCAGTATAAAAAAAAAAAAGAGTAGGCGAGAAATCCCCGGGTCCTTTACCTCGTGGTGGCGATACTGTTCACTTTTAACTGAAAAGCAACCAAAGAAGAAGCAGCGGGAGGTTGCTGAACTGTGTTCGGGGTCGGCGGAAGAGTCCTCCTTGGGAGGCGGTTTGGCAACAGCTGATCTGTGACTGGAGAGTGCATGGTAGGAAGTGGCGTAGATTCCGGAAGTGATCCGGAAATGGAGGATGAAGTGTTTGACGCGGATGAAGGCGGGAATGGAAATAATGAATGGAGTATAGTAGAAAATCGAAAAAGAAAGAAAAGCTGGAGTAACGCATCTGCAACTGACAGTGAAAATGGAACACATCTGACAAGAAGAAGGAAGGAAGAGTATAAGGTAGTGATGAAACTTGAAACCGGATCTTTCAGTATCATTAATCCGCTGAAATTATCTGTATTTCTTTCTTCCAAATTTATGCACACTCCACACTCCAGATCAGTAGGTGGCGGTAATGCACCTCTTTCGCTGGTTTGCCAAACCGCCATAAAACACATGAAGAAGAAGAAGAGAAATCCCCGGATGTCCTACTGCTTCAGCCCAGATTCTGAAGTGCTCATCGATGGACACTTTTCTATCCCAGGAGGCCACGGGAGATCAATACGTCATCATCGAACGTGAAGGAGAACAGCGACGAGGGTGTTTACAAATGTGGGTAATACAAACCAAAAACACGGTTCCTTGTGTTAAAATCATATTTGTTGAGCTGCTGTATAATAAACTGTTTAATTGCTTAAGGTGTAAGACGCTAGACAGTAACGTTACAGTAGATTTGTGATTTGTATCTGTAAAAACATGTTTTATTACATATAGCGAACAGCGGAGCTCCAGTAAGCACACGTACGTCACCAAAGTTAATTTACATAAACCTTTTACATCTTAAAGACGATTAAATCTCTATTTAATATGAGACAGGAAAATATTCTAAAAGAATTGCATATGAGAATATCACAACATGAACAGACATCTGAGTGAGTGATGTATGTGGGCTATTATGTAGAATTCACTGTTGTCAACTGTTGTCAACACTGCAAAGGAAATTTGACTCTTGTCTGGATGTTACAGGGACAGATGAGACACACGTGTGTTTATCCGCTGCAGAGTGACTGATGAAGTAATGTTGAATGTTTTGAGTGAGTACACTATACACATGAATAAAACATCTTTTAAATATTAAGGTGTAGTTTATTTTAATTATTGTAATTTCAAACAGAGTTATCATAGCACTTTTCTGATTCTTGATATATGTGCATTTGATACAGAGCTTTTGTGGTGGAGCAGGTGACAGCAGCATTTGTGGAAAAAAGGGAAAACCTGAAACAAAAATATAAAGTAAAATCAAATGACATTGTGCTGTTAAAATGACTGCTTTTGTATTGTGTTTGTGCAGTCTTGGCTGGATGTTACAGGGACAGATGAGACACACGTGTGTTTATCCGCTGCAGAGTGACTGATGAAGTAATGTTGAATGTTTTGAGTGAGTACACTATACACATGAATAAAACATCTTTTAAATATTAAGGTGTAGTTTATTTTAATTATTGTAATTTCAAACAGAGTTATCATAGCACTTTTCTGATTCTTGATATATGTGCATTTGATACAGAGCTTTTGTGGTGGAGCAGGTGACAGCAGCATTTGTGGAAAAAAGGGAAAACCTGAAACAAAAATATAAAGTAAAATCAAATGACATTGTGCTGTTAAAATGACTGCTTTTGTATTGTGTTTGTGCAGCTTTGCAGGATCTGAAATGTCTGTAGACTGGTGTGAGCAGTGAGGATGGAGAAGTCCACGGCAGCATCCTGGAAATGGTCCAGTGCCATTGATGAGACACTCCATCACTCCACCTCTTACTGCCTCATCTGGACCGGATGATGCAGTGGTCTCTTCATCCTCAGTGACCAGTGGTGGGGGTAACGAATTACAACTACTCACGTTACTGTAATTAAGTCGTTTTTTCGTGAACTTGTACTTTTTTTAGTATATTTTTAGAGCTGTACTTTTACTTGTACTTAAGTACAAATTAAGCAAAATAATCTACTTCGTTACTTTTAAATCATAGTTCGTTACTGAGTACGCCCACAATTTCAATTATTATTCAAACATTTGCCGGCACTTCAGTAGCCAATAAAGATATCCGATCGTAAAGAGACCAAATAGCACTGCGGTCAAGCCAGCCGCCAAGTCGAAAAGCACGGTCAATCTAGCCGCCACGTTATTTCGAGGGTCGCGCATAAACTGCCTATTACGGTAAAACCGTCAGAGAACTGATCTGGATGCAGTGCTCCTCTTCCAGCGAACGTGATTTTTTCCCAACACACAGTCCGTAACTGTCTGATGTTGAATACCAAAATAAAAGCCCTCCAATACTCATATTACAAAATAAGAGCAAGAATATACGCTTGCTGCATCTCTACATTCAAAAAGCTATAAAAATAAAAGTTCTAGATTGCACAGACCAGTTCCACCTCAGATTGAGAGTACACCTTGCCACAGTGTCAGCTGCACCTTTTCAGGACTGTCTGATGTGGAATTACAAAATAAGAGCCCCCACAACTTTCATATATATGCTGTTATGTCTACTTTCAAAAAGCTATAAAAATAAAAGTTCTAGATTCCACAGACCAGTTCCACCTCAGATTGAGAGTAGTACTGTCTGATGTGGAAATACAAAATAAGAGCCCCCACAACTTCCATATATATGCTGTTTTGTCTCTAATTTCAAAAAGCTATAAAAATAAATGTTCTTGATTGCACAGACCAGTTCCACCTCAGATTGAGAGTACACCTTGCCACAGTGTCAGCAGTGTCGTTTCAGGACTGTTTTATGTGGAATTACAAAATAAGAGCCCCCACAACTTTCATATATATGCTGTTATGTCTACTTTCAAAAAGCTATAAAAATAAAAGTTCTAGATTCCACAGACCAGTTCCACCTCAGATTGAGAGTACACCTTCCCACAGTGTCAGCAGCACCTTTTCAGGACTGTCTGATCTGGAATTACAAAATAAAAGCCCACACAACTTTCATATATGTGTTGTTTTGTGTCTACTTTCACAAAGCTATAAAAATAAAAGTTCTTGATTGCACAGACCAGTTCCACCTCAGACTGAGAGTACACTTTGCCACAGTGTCAGCTGCGCCGTTTCAGGACTTTCTGATGTGGAATTACAAAATAAGAGCCCCCACAACTTTCATATATGTGTTGTTTTGTGTCTACTTTCACAAAGCTATAAAAATAAAAGTTCTAGATTGCACAGACCAATTTCAAATTAATGGTTATTAAGTCTACATTACTAAGTGTTTGGAAATGAACAATATTATGAAATATTTATATTGATTATAGTGTGAAACATAATGCCAAATTTCCAAAAGTGCAAAATTGTAACGTTAAGTTCCTGTCAGGCACTTGTGAGACCTAAACAGCCATCCATCATGAGGGCATCAACGCCCACTACAGTACGATTAAAATTGAACAACAATATTGCTGCATCAGGGTAAACACCTAAAAATTGTAGGTTTGCACGAGGACTGGAATTGGACTAATGAAATTATATAATTTTCAGATTCATAGACAGTCACAGCTTGACCAATATGACCTTTTTGTTCATTTCCTAAATTTGAACTGTTTGAGATTAACTTGAAGCTTCATGGTTATATAATTTGTAAAAGCACCAGCCAGAATCGTTCCCATCTCCAGTCCCATCCAAGGACAGTGGAAGTGCTGCAGGAGATGAAAGACGCAAGTCTTCTGAACCAGTTAGTCAACCTTTTTGGTACTGACATTCATGTACGACTTCCTACCTTGTAATGCCAGCATTTTCTGTCTTTCTGTAAAAGCACCAGCCAGAATCGTCCCCATCTCCAGTGCCATCCGGGGACAGTGTAAGTGCTGCAGGAGATGAAAGACGCAAGTCTTCTGAACCAGTTAGTCAACCTTTTTGGTACTGACATTCATGTACGACTTCCTACCTTGTAATGCCAGCATTTTCTGTCTTTCTGTAAAAGCACCAGGCAGAATCGTCCCCGTCTCCAGTGCCATCCGAGGACAGTGGAAGTGCTGCAGGAGATGAAAGACGCAAGTCTTCTGAACCAGTTAGTCAACCTTTTTGGTACTGACATTCATGTACGACTTCCTACCTTGTAATGCCAGCATTTTCTGTCTTTCTGTAAAAGCACCAGCCAGAATGGTCCCCATCTCCAGTGCCATCCGAGGACAGTGGAAGTGCTGCAGGAGATGAAAGACGCAAGTCTTCTGAACCAGTTAGTCAACCTTTTTGGTACTGACATCTGTTTCATGTACGACTTCCTACCTTGTAATGCCAACATTTTCTGTCTTTCTGTAAAAGCACCAGCCAGAATGGTCCCCATCTCCAGTGCCATCCAAGGACAGTGGAAGTGCTGAAGGAGATGAAAGATGCAAGTCTTCTGAACCAGTTAGTCAACCTTTTTGGTACTGACATCTGTTTCATGTACGACTTCCTACCTTGTAATGCCAACATTTTCTGTCTTTCTGTAAAAGCACCAGCCAGAATCGTCCCCATATCCAGTGCCATCCGAGGACAGTGGAAGTGCTGCAGGAGATGAAAGACGCAAGTCTTCTGAACCAGTTAGTCAACCTTTTTGGTACTGACATCTGTTTCATGTACGACTTCCTACCTTGTAATGCCAACATTTTCTGTCTTTCTGTAAAAGCACCAGCCAGAATCATCCCCATATCCAGTCCCATCCGAGGACAGTGGGAGTGCTGCAGGAGATGAAAGACGCAAGTCTTCTGAACCAGTTAGTCAACCTTTTTGGTACTGACATCTATGTACGACTTCCTACCTTGTAATGCCAGCATTTTCTGTCTTTCTGTAAAAGCACCAGGCAGAATCGTCCCCGTCTCCAGTGCCATCCGGGGACAGTGGAAGTGCTGCAGGAGATGAAAGACGCAAGTCTTCTGAACCAGTTAGTCAACCTTTTTGGTACTGACATCTGTTTCATGTACGACTTCCTACCTTGTAATGCCAACATTTTCTGTCTTTCTGTAAAAGCACCAGCCAGAATCGTCCCCAT